TCGTCAGACTTATTCGCGGGTAAGGAAACAAGTCATTTGGCTATGGAGCTCAATAGATTCGGTAAAGAATAAAACAGGCAGGCTTAAAGAGGCTTATCCTAAAGGACTTATTTAGGTGAGATGGAAAAATTATGAATTAAATGGGTGACTAATGCCTTCATCCTTTCAACAACTAGATTATAGTGCAAACAATTTAAGCCTAAACACTTCAAAGATGTTCTAAAAGCATAGTCAAAATGCTAGCCAGCTCACAAAGACACAGTTTAAAGAAAATTTTTCAAAATTTTAACATGAAATTTCTATGAATATACAACTAACACCTGCACATGCTAACTCTAAAAATCTCATGTGACAACTACTGCCCGAATGCCCAATTCACTCCGCCACACTTAAACTTTGGCATCACTCTCGATGACCAAAAATGCACTATGCACAAGGGCGTAAAGAGGAAAGGGTCACGCGTGCTCAACTTAACTCAAGTTAACATATTAAAACAGGCGTAAAGAATAGTCATGAAAACTTCCCTGTTGACGTTGGTCGGTGCAGAATTAAACTGAGTCAATGTAAACCCCTTCATCAATCCCAAATCCCTAATTAAACTACTCACAATTCACAATTGAAGAATCAACAAAATTGGGCTGAATAGAATTAATTGTCATTAATTAAAAAGATAGAACTTACAAAGAATCCCAAAAGATTGATGAAGAAGTCTGAAAAGCTCTCTAAATTTCGTGATAGACACTCTCTCTCTATGCTCCCCCCAAAATAGGGTTAGGAAGGCCTTATTTATAGAAAAAAGGAAGAAATTCGAGTTCGGTTCGAACTAGGACAAGGTTTTTCACCGTTTCTCTAGTCCTGTTTTTTACCGTTTTTCTAGTCCGCATTTGACAAAACTTCCTTCATGAAAGTTGTAGATAATGAAGTCTTCCATACACCACATTTTGCCGAATTCGATTTGAATCATCCAATCAAGCGATATGAATAAAATGGTGGAATGTCTCATTCTGAAATCACAACAAGTATCATCTGACTTCATCATCTATTTTCACCTTCTTCCTCTCCTATTCTCGCAATGATGTCTTCATATAATTTGTGACCCCATCCTCATTCACTGGTCCCTGACTGATCTATGACCTGTTATTTCAAGTTATTTTCTTCTTTGCAAAACATTATGTGATCGTAAGGTGGGAATTATGGTATAATGTTTTACAAAAATAAGAAAATAACTTGGAATAACAGGTCATAAATCGGTCAGGGACCGGTGAATGAAGATGGGATGCAAAGGTTGGATTATTCATGAATAATGAAAAGGTGGGACTATTGTAAGAAGACCGCTAAAAGGTTTGATTATTAGTTTCCATTTTCCCTTAATTAAAAAGATAGAACTTACAAAGAATCCCAAAAGACAAATGAGTTTGTACTGATTAAAGCTCTCAGGAATTGAAACTTTGGGATCTAATACAAGTTCAGCACAAATGAGGGCAGTTGACATAGGAATCCCCATGAAAAATTCTTTAACAGCCAAACAGACCTCAGGCCCTACAATATTCCAGCATTCCCTGTAGAAATTACCTGAAAATTCATCTGGCCCAAGAGAAGTGGAGAATTATCCTTATATAAGTGCCACACAGCTTGTTTAATCTCTCCGTCATCAGGCAGGGCACTAAGGATGTGGTTCTCAGCATCAGAAATAAGTTGAGGAATAAATGAAAGCACGTAGTCCATTGCTTCAATATCAGGTACCTCTTCCTTGTACAGATCTTTATAATACTCCACAGCAGCATTTCCAATATCTGATTGAGTGGAACAAATATTTCCATCCTTATCCACAATAGAGGAGATCATTTGATGCCTTATTTTGGTTTTAACATAAGAATGGTAATATTTAGTGTTGGCATCCCTTTCCTTTAGCCACTTTATCTTAGCTTTCTGTCTCCAAAAAGCTTCCTCTTGCTTCAGTCTTAGTTTAAATTGTACTTGAGTTTTTGACCAAGTCTCTCTGTTGTCAGTAGGATCATGATCAAAAAGGGATTCAGCCTCCTTGGCTTCTTTTTCAGCCTGGGTGAGTTGATAAAAAATATTACCAAAAAAGGTTTTATTCCATTCTCTCAAATCAACCTTGAGTCTTTGTAGCTTAGTGTACAGCCCTCTCATTCCACCCCCGGTCTTTGAAGCCTGCCAACTTTTTTGAACAACATCCTGAAAGCTTGGACATAAAATCCACATGTTTTGAAATCTAAATTGTTTTTGGACCACCTTCATTGATTTTTTTGCAGGAGAGTGATCAGAAGTAGTCCTCAATAAATGATTCTGAATAACAGAATCAAATCTGTCTAAAAACGCATCATTTGCCACATATCTATCCAGCCTTCTCCAGAGTCTACCCTGGGATCTCACTCCAGTCCAGGTAAAAACAATTCATGTATTAGGAATTTGATGTCGATCACAATAATCTAGACAGTCCTTGAAGTCCTAAATGTCATTAACATTAGGAGCAGATCTTCCTTGATGTTCAGAAATAGAGAAGAGAACATTGAAATCTCCACCAACTACCCAGGGATCAAAATTATTATTCTTCCAGTGCACCAGCCACTCCCAAAGAGGTGTTCTTTCTTGTCTAGTATGTTTACCATATATGGCTGAATAAAAGAAAGACCACCCCAATTTCTTGTCCACTACTTTGAAGTGAAGAACTTGATCAATATTGTCAAAATTTGAAAGACTATAGTCCTCTTCTTTCCATAACACCCAAACTTTATTATCAGATTTAAAATATCCTTGATTGAAACCAAGCTTGTGCTGAAAGTAACTAGCTTTGTGGAATGAAACCATAGGTTCAATAATAATAATTAGAGACAGTCCCCATTGCCTTATTAAGCTTTGTAGTCTCCGGCAAGAGGAAGAGAGACCACATGCATTCCAAGAGAATATTCATTGGGAAACTGTTCCATGGGCTTGAGAAGCCTCTCTCCTTGCTGCAGATCTAGTTTGGATAGGTGGCAAAGTGACATTATAGTCCTTTTTTATGCATTTTTCCTTGCAGTTTGAATAATATGTTCTCTATTTTGATCTTGTTCAGAATCAGTCTCCATATTCTGAAGAATTACTTCAACATGTTTAACAAAAGGTTGCAAGATGCTCTGCCATTCTTCTTTTGACAGTCTGGAATTATCATCAGGTTCTCCCCCATCTGAGTTGTTTCCATCCTCCAAAAGAATGATCTTGGGTTTACCTACTTGCTGAATAGAGTCATCTCTATGTTTCAGTTTTTGCAGGTCAGCAGCATACGGGATTCCATCTACCAACGCTCTTGATTCTGAATCCATTTTATCAAGTTGGTGAAGTTGAGGGCCTATTTGATCCAACTGTTGTGAGTCAGTTTGAATTTAAGGTTCTGGAGGTTGATGTGCTGCAACATTATCCATTTGAGGTGGTGTACCCTCATCCTCTGTATATCCGAGGATCCCCTAAGGGAGGGGCCTGAGTTGTTTGGTGCACTTTTTGCTTTTGTTTTTTGTCCTGTGTAATGTGCTTATCTTGCTATACTTTGGGAACCCACTCCTTTTCCTTAGTAATAGTTGTATTTGGTTGAGCTGTAGCTTCCTTTTTGCAGTTTGAATGTCCTATCTTAAGACAATCAAGATAATATTCAGGCATATCCTCATAAGTAACATTCTGCACAAAACCAAAGTCACCATTCTGTAGCCATATTTCATGTGGAAGCTCTTGAGTGAGATCTACCTCAACACAGACCCTTGCAATGGAGGGTCGTGTTAGGTTAGTTGTGGCTGCATCATATTTTAGGGGTTTACCAACCAAGTTGGCAATAGAAAATATGACTCTCTTATCAAACATATGGAGTGGAAGCCCCTCAACAGCAATCCACACAAGTACAATTGGAAGCCCTAAATTGAGGGGTCCATTTTGGATCATCATCATATATGATATATCCTTGGGTAGTCCAAGTACGCCTCAATCATCAACGTTGAAAGTCCTCTTCTGATTCAAACCTTAGAAGAACATTTCTAGGAGCAAGTAGACCTAAATGAAAAGAATGCTTAAAACCAATAGATTCAAAGGCTTTTCTGGTAACATCCAATTTAGGTCTACCCTTGATGAATGATCCTACCAAGGCAAAGCTATGCTTACGAGCCAAAATATCAACCTCCTCCTTAGAAAATTTTAAAGAGGGCATTCCCTTAAAGCTAGATGGCTGTTTGATCGATATATCAGCTTTAGGTTCTCCTGCTAAAATTGCAGCAAAAGATCTAACCGTCGAGGGATCTGGCGGCTTCGCCGTCGTAGGGGTCTTACCAGTCATGAAACGCAAATAGTCACCAGAGCAAGAGAGAAAATTCAATCCTATTCAGCTTAAACTAGGTATTTGACAAGTTACATTTTGAATGAATTTGAGTTACATTGATCAATAACGTTAGGGATGGACTAAACCGGGTCGGCCTGACCCAGAACCGGCCCGGAACCGCTATTGTGCGGGCCTGGACCGGACCGGGACCGGTTGGCCGGTTCCGGGCTTTTAGCCCGTTTGGGTGGGTCGGGCGAGCCGGGCTCGGGCCCAGTTTTGGGCGAACTGGCCCGGGCGATTCGGGTCGGGCCCGGGTCATATTTTTTTTTCAAATTTTTTTTCTTTTCCTAGGGTAGGGCTGGGTGGTTCAGAGAGGTTTGGGGGTGGGGGTGAGGGGGGGGGGGGTCGAGGGATAACAAGAAAGCAAAAAAAATAGACATTGAACCGGGTCCGGCCTGACCCAGCCCGGTTAGGCCCGGACTCGGTATCAGCCCGGGCTGGTTTCGGGCCCAAGTATTTGCAAAAGAAGCCTGCCCGGGCTCGGTCCGGAACCGGAACCGGATCGGCCATGGTCCATCCCTAAATAACGCGAGTTTCATTTCTTTACACGCGAAAAATATCATTATGCTTCTAGGATAAAAAGGAAAAGGACATTTACTATACGTTCATGTACTATTTATGCGTTAGTGTTCACAAATCACAAGTGGATTTTTTTTAAAAAAAATGTGTAAAGCTACATATATGCGCCCTGGTGCTGAGATGATCCCTATAAGAACGGTTTGTTAGCACTTTTATTTGTGACACCCTCAACCCTCGTCCAAAATAGAGCTGACATGCTATAACCTCGGCCACTCCAAAGTGGCTCAACAGCTCTGTCCCAAGTATCATCCTTCTCAGGCGGCCTAAACCCTTCAACAGCTCAACCGAGCAGCGCAATTCCAACCCTTCTGTGCCGCGCTTCTATGAACCTCTTGAAATGAAAATTCATCGAATTGCTCGAAACATGAGACGGTTCTCTAGACCGAGCCTCAAATGCTTCGCGCACGGCCATTGTGAACAAGTTTCCAAGAACGGATTTCCGACTCGTCATATTCATACCCTGCGATCTATATACACAAATCCCTCTTTATGGAGAACCAGATTCAGAAACTCAGCCACACGATCCTTAATCAGCTCGAGTTATACGACTTCAGCTCCGGAAACAAAGCCCGCTCCATCCGATACAGTGTTGGGCATTGTCGATGAGATTTCGGGTCTCACCCTACTCGAAGTCTCCGATTTGGTGGAGGCACTGAGGAAGAAGATGGGAATTGATGAGATGCCCGTAATGGCTATAATGATGCCGGGTATGGGTTTTAGTGCTGGAGGTATGAGGGGAAAGGGTTCCGGAGCCGCAGCCAAGGCAGAGGAGAAGGTGGAGAAGACGGTCTTCGATTTGAAACTGGAGGCTGGGTTTGATGCTGGGGCAAAAATCAAAATTATTAAGGAAGTTAGGTCCTTCACCGACCTTGGATTGAAAGAAGCCAAAGAGTTGGTTGAGAAGGCTCCTGCAATTTTGAGGAAGGGGGTTGCTAAAGACGAGGCTGAGAAGATCATTGAGAAGATGAAGGGGGTTGGTGCGAAAATCACCATGGAGTGAGCTAGGTAAATATGTGGCTTATGGTTCATTGAACTATGTTGACTGATTTTGCTAAAGATATATTTCATGACTGATAGATGTGGAGTAACAGTATATCTCCTTGCTTCATTTATTTCTGACCCAAGTCACTAGTTTAGTGAGCTTAATCTTGTCAAAAAAAAAGTTTAGTGAGCTTAAACATCTTATGGTTCCGTTCTTGCTTCTTTTTCTTTCAAGTGATGTGATGCTTTGCTTAATGTTATTGTCCCAAAAGATCCATAAAAAGGCTGTTTGTCAAGGTAATATTCAATGATCATGGATGGACGGGACATACTTCGTACAGAGTATTAGTTATTCATTTCCTCATTTACTTTTCCCCAGTGTTCCATTGCATTATATATTACGGAGTATACTTGTAATTTGTAAAATTAAGATGCATGCTGCGTTTAGAGAATTTAAACATCAAATATTCTTGTTTAACTTCCATAGTTCCATAAGCAGGTAAAATTTGCTCTGCCATTACTACTCACAAATCTAAACTGGAAATTCACTATGGGTCAATGGGAATCTCATGAGATGTTGTTTTCGTCGTTTCCATACATTTTCTACCTTCCTCACCCCTCATTGTTAAAAATGTCAAACTGACAAAGCTTAATTGAAGCATTTTCTAAGAAATAAGATGGGTCATGATATTACCCTGGGTGTTATGGCCTTACGGGATGAGGTCTACCTAAATCTCTAAGTTGTACCTGCTTTGGAATTATAGTATCAATCTTTCAAAACATTTCTTTTATTTCAATAATTAAGTTAACAAAAAATGTACAAATTCTCTGAGTGTGGAACTAAATAGGAATGTCATTAGTTATTTTGCAAACTTTTGATGACCCTTAAGTGTATGGAGCCTTTGGTGTTATGAGTTATGACATGTGATGCTTGAATAATGCTTCTATAGTTCTCTTTCATCATTTCTCCCTTGTCAATCTTTAACAAGATATAGTGATGTTGGCATTATATGTAGAGAAATTTCTTGAAGTCACTCTCTGGTGTATCTCAAAATGACCCATGCATTCTCGTTTGATAATAAACCCTAAGGAAGCATAAAATATCTCGAAAAGAACTTCTTGAGGTACCCTTGCTGTAAGAAGCATGTAGATGGGAGGGTCATTTTGACAAACGAGGGTTACCCAAGGAATTTCCCTTATATTTACTGTATGGCGTTGACAACTCTCTTAAAAGAAAATACTTAATACTAGTGTGCAATTTTCTAACTGCTGTATGGTACACCTTGGCACCTTGCCTAACGGGGATGGATGCTCAAATGGAACTTGTTTTTTCAGTTGGGTTTATCTTGAGCATCATCAAGACTCATTTCTATGGCTTTGCCTATAGCTTTTACAGTAAAATAACTTTTCCAAAACTCGGCTGATACTTGTTATTTGCACTTTTATCCAGCTTTCACAATTGGAGCGCAAAATGCTTATGCTGGATATTAGTCTACAGATTGACATTTGGGTGATCGTTCACTGGGGTCTGGGTCTCTGGGAGCACACTTGTAGTGATATAATGAACTTTGCTGATATAGAACTTTCTCCATATCATCTCTCTTGTTTTCATCCATTTATGAATAATACTGAGGCCAGCTGCATTGAAAAGCTCTTGGTTGGAGGTCTATTCCCTGTGCTATCTTATCATTGCTTCTGCTTAACACTCATCAGAAGCTGTTTGGACTTCTCAATTCTCATGGCAGGGTTTGATGGAATACTCCCTTCTTGTATGTTAGTTACATTTCATACTGTCTTCTAAATTTGCATTTATTCTTTCAATATGTTCATCTTAAGTATGATTTGGTGCTAACATGCCAATGTCCCTCTTTTCCTGTATTTTATAATCTAGAAGTCTAAATTAAACACTTACATGCGAGGGGACATTCTTCCAAGTTCTTTTCCTTAAAAAGTTCATGTATCATTTGCATCATCAAATTCATAGTTCAACCAACAAATTTTAATTTTCGCTCCCACTTTACCTAATTCTCAAACACATCATCATCATTACCCTAGTGCCACAAAGGCTCCCCACCTACGTTGGGGTAAGGGGGTCGGATGTACATAGTCTTACCTTACACAAAAGCACAAAGAGGTTGTTTCCGGATGACCCATAGTGAAAATTGCATTGAAAATTACATGGACTGACTGTTGTTTCATAACATAGAAGCACAAGAAAGTTTAGTGAATCATTTTGCTTTATTCCATTATATTCCCAAGCCAAAAAATAGTTAGTCTTTGGCTTCATTGCAAATGATGGATAATTCCCAAACACAAGTAGGAGTGGACTCGGGCCGGTTCGGGCCCGGTTTGGGCCTGGGCCCGGCCGGGCCTCGGTTCAAGAAGGGGAGGCCCGGAACCGGCCCGGGTAACCCCCGGGTCCGGGCCGGGCCGGGCCGGGCTTCGGGTATATTTTTTTTTTTTTGGGCTTTTCCTAGTTAACCCCCACCCCTCCCCCTCACCCCCAAACCAACCCTAACCACCTCAAATGGCCCAAAATAACCAGCCCAATCCAAAAACTCAAAAAAATTTCAAAAAAAAAAATTAAAATTGGCCCGGCCCGGGCCCGAACCGGCCGGGCCGGTTCACCTTTTGAAGGGCCCGAGCCCGAACTGAGAATCCATCGGGCCGGGTGGCCCGAACCGCCCAACGAACCGGTTCCCGGGCCGGTCCGGGCCCGCACAGTGGCGGGCCGGTCCGGTTCCGGGCCGGTTGGCCCGGCCCGGGTCCACCCCTAAACACAAGTACACAAAACTAATGACTCCATCAAGAAAATTGTTACATAAGGGTAGGGATGGACCGGGACTAGTCGGACCGGCCCGGTACCCGGCCCGGACCGCCACTGTGCGGTACCGGCCCAGCCCGGTTGACCGGGACCGGGACTGGGCCTTGGGCCCGAACCGGAGGGGTTATGGGGCGGGTTACGGTCTGCAACCCTCTTGGAATCGGCTGGTCCGGGACTGGTCCGGGCCCAAAATGTTTTTTTTTTAATTTTTTCGAATGGATTGGGTTGTAGGCGGGTTGGGCTGGGTGGTTTGGGGGTGGGGGTAGGAATAAATAAGAAAAACAAAATTCAAAAAAATATATAAAAGACGTGACCCAACTCGGGCCTGGCCCGGTCCCGGAACCTACCCGGGCCTCCAACTCCCAAACCCAGTCCCGCCCAAGGCCTGACCCGGACCCGGTTTGGGTCCATCCCTACGACCCTACATATGGGTGGGTGAACATGGGTTAGTTCGGTTAGGTTCCCCTTACTGATAAATAGATAGTAGTCCAGGTGGGATAGAACTGACGGTCCTATTTCTGTTCCTTTCCTGTCCGATTCTATAACCTAGAAAAACTTTACCAGCCTATTTTGGATCACTAGGCTACTTTTGAAACACATTTTAGCACAATCAGAAACGCTTCAAATAAAATAAATTCTGCTTTGATCGGATATGGAAAATAAGAAGTGCATAGCAGTGATGTTGTAGTTACATGACATGAACACATAGATGGCAGCTTTGGCTGACTAGGAGTGGGAAAGGTAGAAATGACTCATTTACATAATTAATTACATATATCCAATCACTATATCAAACTGGATGAGGTGAATATGGCAGGGGACGCCCCAATTTGACTTGTGAATTAATGTTACACCCTGTGATCGTGAAACCACCATGTTGTTTCCTTGGGCGATCTCCCATTCCTTAAGTAGTGGTCATTATCTTGGGGGAGTTGCTGCACAAGATGGAAATACAGTGATCATAATGCTGGCTGGCTATCAGAGCAATGAATAAAGTGATGAACACGTACCTTTGCAGTAGAGCTTGATAGCATAGAGAGAATGCTAATGCAGATGGAATGAACCGTCATTGCAGGAGACCATGTATCGTACAGAATATCTGACACATAACATAATGATAAGCTGCAATATATATAAATTTATATAGATACATGTGTGTGTGTGTGTGTGGTTTCACAGACAGAACCCGGAAGACTAATTTGAAGCATCCATCTGATAAGCTGTACAAATGGAGGAGCAGATAACAATAAACTAAAGGGCAACTTACATCTGCAACCAAATGCAAAATCTAAGTCTTTATACAAAGAATATTACCTAAACAAATATGGCCATTGCTGTATATATGTGGGTGCAATGGAGCTGGGCACAAAAATATCACCTGCAGCACCAACTTAAGAAACATTATAATCATGGCCTAATGTAAGCAAGCATTTTTTTTAAATAAAACATCAAATGATTTCTCAAAGAACACCTGAGGAGCTTCCATAGGGTATTGTTCAGGAAATTCAACTTGAAGCTGATAAGTCTCATTAGCATACAGGGTTTCAGGAGCTCCATATACTTCAATCACCCACCTTTTGGTCGAACACGAAATTCGTGATACAAATAGAAAGAATCATACAAATATAATCCTTACATTTGTGATTACAGAAATTATATCGCTTTTTCCCCCTTTTCAAAAATGACTAAATATGCCAAGGTTTTTTTAAACTCTAAATACATTCAAATTGTTTCTCCCTCCAACACCAACCTAACTATTAGCTAGGGGATAAAAGTTTTAGTAGTTTTTTTAAAAAGTCACTACTACCTCCGTCCCATTTTATGTGTTGGACACAATTATTAATAAAGTGGTTGAAAAAGTAAAATTTGTGGTTGATGTTTGAGTAAAAATAAGTGAAATGGTGTAGGTCACGTATTTGTTTTGCAAAAAAGGGAAATGAGACATGTATTTTGGAATAATCCAAAAAAGAAAGAATGACAAGTAAAATGGGACGGAGGGAGTAATATTGATGAGTAAAAAATCCCCTTTCCGTTTGTGGTAAACAAAATGTTGCAAACGAGTAGCAAACAATATAATCTCACTTTATTAAAATGTGTGTGAAATGTGTTTGAAAAAAGTAGGCACAGTTTACCTGGCAGAAAACAAACGCAGTAATAGGGAAAAGAATTGAAGATGTATGTAATAAGGTAAGGAGGTTTGTTTAATTTATGATGGATGGATCACCTTTGAAGATGATGATGATCATCATCATCATCATCATCATCAGTGGACTTAAGTTTGAATCCAGGGGGCGGATTGGCCTGCCAGGAAGCCTGCAGCTCTTTCTGGATTCTGTTACAAGCAGTCTTGCTAAGCCTCTGTGATCATTCCATTTCAGCACATCCACAAAATATATATTTTGCATGCATATATCATAGAAGAAGAAGAAGAAGAAGATCATAGAAGGTAGCGGGACCGACCTTGGGAGGGGAAGCGGTGGAGCTGTTCATGGCTCGCTACCAGCTGATCGAATGTGTGAACAATGTATCATCTTCCTATATATATACCCACCGCAACTCATTTCTGTTTTCTCTTCTTTTTTATCATACTACACCAACCCTTTATCCCCAAGTCATTCATTTCTTAACCACCAAATTATTACCGGAGCTACATATTTATTAGAAATGAAAGTGATTCATTTTTTGAAACATTTAAAAATAGTAAGATTATACTTGTATATAAAACCGAATGTCCAAAAGTACAATTAAAAATGAAAGTTATTAGATCCATATATTTAAACGACAAAACCAGAAAATTCTTACAAATATCTAAATGCAACCTAAAATTTTTATAGTCCGTATATATATGACCGGTGAAACTTTTACTTTGTCGCTCAAATCTCAATTAGACGACTAATTAAGAACATCACATCCTGTCCCTATGCGTCTTTCACATTCCATAGCTAGGAATCATTAACTAACAAGTTAATTGATGGCTTCGATTTCAAGGAAATGTATATTCCATTATGGTATGCCAAGCAAGATCAAACGTCATAATAATTAGGATGCATGTTTTAATTCAAATGAAATACTCCCTCCATCCCAATTTGATTTGCAAAATTTCTTTTTTTGTTTGTCTCAAAATGGTTTTCCACTTTCTATTTTAGGTATGTAAATAAGAATAAAGTGACAAATTTACCCTTACTTTTACTTTTTCACCATTAACTTAAAAGCATCTACTTTTAAAAAGATGAGCAAAAGTGTAAAAAGAAAGCATTGTTTATTGTTATTTCTTAATCCTAGTGTCGGTTAAAGTTTGCAATTCAATTCGGGACGGAGGGAGTACTTTGTCAAAATCTAGTCTGATCTTGTGTGTGTGATCTGCTTTGGTTTATTTATGCTCGGTTAATTTGATCTTGCCGGGTTAAAAACTCCCTAATATATTCTAAGTTTATTATATTATTCCTAACGGGGATCAATAAATATATTATATTTAGACAATTTAACAGCAAGAAATTATATTTTAAAAAAAAAGTAAGAAATTTGAAATGGTAATATGCTCCGAATGATATGTATCATCCTAACTTATTAGTGGTATTTTCGCATTCACAATGACATGTATTAAAATTTGTAATAATATAATGGGCGTTGTAATATAATTAGACCTAATATTACATATGTTGTTCATCTGGTGTCCCAGTTTATGCATGCTCCACGCACTACTCATTTATTAGATGTCAAGAGAATTTACAGGTATTTACAGGGCACGTCATCGCATGATCTGTGGTTGCGGACGGACCACAATATTTGTGTTATTATGGCTTATTCTAATGCAGATTGGGCAGGTTGCCCGGACAGTTCACGTTCGACCACTGGGTACGCGGTTTTCCTGGTGATGGAGTATATAGACTCGGCCCCTCGGGTCTCACGAGTATTGGGTCCGGACAGCGGCCCACACACGCTTATCGGACCTCATTTATATCATTTGTATTATTGTAGAGTTCATATATCATTTGTATATACCAGATTAGCCTTTTATGTAGTTGGGCTTATCGGGCCCATATTAGCGCCCCGACCCATTATTTCTCTATTTATACTCCACTTGGAGCTTGTAAACCCTAGGTCACAACACAATTCTAAGTCTCAATACCACTATTCATTCATCTTCTCCACATTCTTGAGCTCAAATCTCTCCATTTATTATATAGTTTGGATCCCTATAATCCATCAATGGTGCTTTCATTGAGAGATTAGAGCATAATCAAGTGAGAAACCCTCCCAAAATCTCCAAAAACTCATCCAAATCACAAAAATTCAATCAAAAGGTGTTCTGGAAAATAAAACAAGAAATGAAGAAATCTCGATTTTTTCAGATCTGGAGCTTCCCCTGAATCCGAACTCCGGCAGACTTAGTAAACCAATCGGAGCTGTTACGACCGTTGCGAAGCTCGCTCGCCTCACTGCAGTGCCTGAAGCTCACCAGTTTATTGCAGCTCCCGTCACCATCGCTACAGATTCAGCTTAGCCGGCTCTTCAGGTTACAACCGCCATATCCGTGAGACCTCTGCAAACCTGCGGTATCCGTCCAGGTCCGAACCAACCCGACAGTAGGCATCGAAGTTGAGATTGATGCGCGATGTACGAGCCCTAGATGAGCTCCACCGCCCCCATCACAGCATCGCCGACCGTCGAGGTTTGCCGGGCTTGCACGCTGGGCTAGATGCTCATAGCCGGCGATGGGAACCAAGGGCCGCGCCCCTACTTTGCCGGTGACGACGAGGTCATCCTCCCTGTCCGACGGCATAAGGACGGACGTAACTTCCCTTCCTCTGCGGAGCTGCGCAGAACTGCGCTCACTTCTCCAGACCTAGCGGGAGTGAGGGGAAGAGGATGGGCCATGCCCATTCAACAAGTGACCACCTTTTACAAATCAACCTGGGCCTAAGAGAATCAACATGCTGCTGTTTATTTCAGTCAAGCTCACCAAAAGCAGTCCAAATAAAAAAGCTAAGTACCCCAAATTTTCTCCTATTTATACACTTAAAATATTTATTAAATGATAGTAATAGACTTAGTACTATTATTAATTATATTATTTCCACCACCATTATGGCGGGTTAAAATCCTCCGAAGTGGTGAAGACCATTATGACGGATTAAAATTTCCCGAGGTTGCTAATGATGCATTATTATTGGCGTTATTATTTTTATCACCGCCATTAAACCGGGTCAAAAAACCCCAAAGTGGTGAACCCGAGCTCTAGTCTACCGAACATCTTTATTTGATGATTCGGATTATATTTAGGTCCATCAACCAACCCTAGTCACCTTTATTTGGTGACTCGGACATCTAAAAATGAGAGTCGCTACCGGACGCATACATCATTATGCCTAAAAGCGGTAAACGGTACACCTCGTTCTCCGAGACGCTAATCGCGTCGCCCAAAAGCCGTTGCCATGAACAACGCACCTATTGTATTCCGCTTATTTTTTGAAAATGTAAATAGAAGATACCACGTATCGTATCAGCAACCTTAGAGCGAAGGGCTCAGGTATGCTCCATTGTATTTTGTATCAGCAAAGGGCTCAGGCCTGGCTGAGAGAGCACGTCGTATCGGCCCCTTAGAGCGAGACGCTCAGACAGGACCGACGGTGTCCCCAGGACGAGGGGCCCGCAAACGGCCCGCGTCTTGAAATACGAAGTTCACTGCGTCGTCCACACGCCAGAACGCAGGACGACATGCCTGAAATCATGGCTGAGGCGACAAAATCCCCAAACTCGGGGTTGGGCAACGACAGCCGTTGGAAACCAACCAAAAGTCTAGCCCGCGTCATAAATAGGCGACGGGACCCCCCCGAGACCATGGACGTTATAAACGAAGTCCAAACCGGCCGGAGGACTATCGACCCCTTCGGCCGAAGTCTGAAAGAAGGACACTCCCCAAAATAGGGAACAAAAAAAAAAGAGAGGGAAGCCGAGGAGCGTGCACTCGCCAGCCTCGAGCAATGAAAAATAAAATTCCCAAAATTTGACTAAGTACATATCAGACAAACACTATGCATTATGGACGCATTATGGACGAAGCAAGACCATACATGCGGATCAGACGAGCGCCCAGCGCCGTCCCTCATTTTTTAGACGAGCGCCCAGCGCCATCCCTCATTTTTAAGACGAGCGCCCAGCGCCGTCCCTCATTTTTAGACGAGCGCCCAGCGTCGTCCCTCATCTTCAGACGAGCGCCCAGCGCCGTCCCTCATTTTTTAGACGAGCGCCCAACGCCATCCTTCATCTTCAGACGAGCGGTGACGTGCACTTTGTCACGGTGCGTCAAAATAATTTCAATACTAAACACTTATACGTAGTATAGCGTAGTAGAGTTCGTATCCACAGGGAAATGAATGATTTTCTTTCTATGAAACTAAGTAAATAAAGGGGGGGATTTGGAATGAGTGATTTAATTTAATTAAATACTAAGATGAACGACCTATATGAGATTTAAGTCAAAGATAAAAAGGACTTGACATTGCTATTTTCCACTTGTTGATATATTTTAGTCGATCATTGTTATATCTATAACTTATTCCCTCTCGAATACTCAATCGGGGAGTATATCCACTTCATCGAGGGTAGTTATTAACAACGACCGTTCATTAATAACTCTTACTATTAATCAAATATAGAACAACGCCTTATACAGATTTAATAGTAGCATTTAATCTTTCTAACTCCTTGATGAAATCAATTGAGATTGATAACCTCAACACAACGGTTTCAGTTTAACCAACAAAATGAATCTCTCTTAAGTTTATTAACCACGATCGTGCATTAATAAACCGAAGTTACTTACTTGTGAAACCATCAACGATTAACCATCGGTTCGTTGATCGTTTCTAGTAATAATTAATATATGAAACAAAATTAGTTGATCCTTTAAGTAATGTTCAAAATATTAATATGAAATAAGAGTAGGGATTAATTAATATTCAAGGAAGAATATTATTAAAGAAGATGAATCCTACTATAATTAATATCAAGATGTTAACTAATTGTCATCTTAGCAACACTCCCCAACATTAATATAGAGGAAGAAAATACCATTCTAACTAATATCGAGATGTTAACTAATTGTCATCTTAGCAACACTCCCCAACATTAATATAGAGATGGTATTAAGGAAAGAACTATTAATTAATATTCAAGGCAAGAAGTTAAAAAAATAACTCACAACTTTAATAATCAACAAGCTTCAAGAGCAACACCAAGAATGGAAGTTTAGCTCCTCATTTGGAGACTAAACATAGCTAGAAAAATATAAAGAAATGCTATTCTAAACTGAGCTTAAGAGTATGGAAGAAGGGATGATGAAATGTGAAGGAAAATGGAGCTATTTATAGGTGTTTTCAACACCTAATGCCAGATACCCGGCCGGGTATTTTGACATACCCGACCGGGTATTTACCAAATCAAATATTTTCCCATGTTTTTGTGTCTTCTGCACGTTCTGTGGTCCGAAATCACAGAATACCCGACCGGGTATATGGAATACCCGACCGGGT